ATGTGATTTGATGCTTCTGTGTTAACTTTATGTCAAAGAATATATTATTTTATTATTAAATAACGTTATAAAATGTTTTATATTTTTTCGAAAGAGCCATGAAGGCATCACGTTAAGCAGGTCCACAAGCTCACAAATCACAACACGCCTTTCCTTGTCAGCCATTGGTCAATTGGACCAGAGTAAGACTGTGTCTTATTGGATACTTGAGGCGAGCAGCTCACTCATTGGTGTGCGGTGTCGTGGAGTCTAAAAACGAAAATAAAGCTACTCTGTCCATGCTTTTTGTAAAGTTTTGTCATGTATTAGGAATTAACACGGACGCTCGCTATTTTCACAATGACGACGACAGATATGACCGCTGTGCTCGACATTCTCCGCGTTCTCTATAAGTACACACAAACTATGTAGGAATTCGCGGACATCGACTGGTTCAGAGAGGGCCAGAAGGCAGTTCTGGTCGAAGATTCAGATTCAGACCGTTTAAAAACATTCGTAGAGAATATTTTCGTCTGTTTCGACAAGAAGCTGCTGCAGGTAGCTAGCTGTAGACAGGTAAGACCCATGTTTAGAGCTGAGCTTGTGAGTAGGACACTGTTGCGACTGTCACTAGTGGCTCAATGCATTTGTGCAAAACGTTTACCAATTAACTGTTAACTGTAGTTAATTGGTAAACGTTAAGTAATTCCAAAATGGAATTACTTAAATGAGGTTTAATGTTAATATTTTTAATAAATTAATGTTATTATATTTGCTGTCGCCGTGTTAATACATATATTTGTTAAGAATAAAATAAAAATAAAACAGTTGGATTTTTGTGTTCTATGACTTGCCATATGTGCAAAATGGAATTACTTAAATTAGGTTTAATGTTAATATTTTAATATATTAATAATATTATATATATATATATATATATATATATATATATATACATATTTGTTAAATTTTCAGACCAAATTTGTATGTATTTTACTTCCACAGATCTGCACTATACCTGAACTTCTGGCCTTTGTTCTTAACAACATGAAGAGGAAAAAGAAAAACAATGTACTAATAAATGGCTACAAACCTCTGTCCGCTCAGGAGGAGTGCAATGCAGACCAGTTCAAATTCCAAGGAAGGCTATTCCAAAGTGCTGCTTACATTCACAGTAGCGACTTGTGGAAAAATGTCCTGTTACGTCTTGGCACGGACGTCGCCAGGTACCTGCTGGAGAGCTGCTCGGTGTTTGTGGCGGTTGCTCCTTCGTGTGTGTTTCAGGTATGTGGTGTTCCAGTCTACGAAAAGATGTCCGTGCCTGCCGTCTCCACCAGGTTTTATCTCCAGAATCGGGGTCAGGCGCGTAAAGGTACGAAGTTCGGATCACGTCGGAGGTCGATGACCTGGAAAAGAAGTCACAAAGGAGGGAAATGTAGGGTTAACGAGAGTATGGACAGAAGGAAATGTAGTGGGAATAATAGGAAAAGAAAGAGAAAAAATGACGGGAGGGAAAACACTCAAGCAAAGAGAAGGAAGTTAGAAAAGCAAGAATCCATACAAGGATGTTCCAAGATGGAGGAGGGAGTTCAGTCTGTTACTGGGGAACAAACATCGACTGTGCAGCCTTCAGTACATGTTACTAAACAGCCAATACCTCAGTCTGAGAGAGAGCATGATTGGAGCGCCAGTAATATCTCCCCTTCCCAGTGTTTCATCCGAACACTTGGAATCCTCTACGGAGGCAGAGGGATGCGTAGCTTTCTGCTCAACAGGAAAAGAAAGACCGACCTAGGACCGAAGAGCCTCCAGGGTGCAGATGTTGTAAGAATAATCTTCTTCGAAGGGCTAGCTTATCTAAATGGGACACAGAGAAAGCCGAAAAAACTTCCCAGGCGCTTTTTCAACATGGTCCCACTGTTCTGTCAGCTGTTGCAACAACACAGGACGTGTCCATACAACAGACTACTGCAGAGGATGTGTCCCGTGGTAGAGGGAACGGGTGAAGAACAAACAGAGATGATCTCCCTCTTACCTCAGCACTGTGCACCTCACCGTGTCTACCTTTTTGTCCGGAAATGTCTCTCTGTTGTGATCCCACCAGAGCTGTGGGGTTCTGACTACAACCGAGCTCACTTCTTTGCTAGAGTCCGCCGTTTTTTACACGGCGGCAAGTACGAGGGACTTTCACTGTCTGAGCTGCTATGGAAGATTAAAGTGAATGACTGTCATTGGTTGATGATCAGTAAAACAGGTGAGGTTATAAACTGTCTAAAGTTTTCTATGTTTTTTTTTCTTTCTTTTGGCTGATGTGTCTCTCTCTAACGTAGCCAGGGTTCCGCCAAGTGAGCTCTCATACAGAACACAGGTTCTTGGTAAGTTCTTTGCTTGGGTTCTCGGTGGTTTTGTTACCAGCCTCGTCCGAAGCTGCTTTCATGTCACTGAGAGTATGAGCCAGAAAAATGCCCTCAGATTCTACAGACAGGAAGTTTGGGACAAACTCCAGGATCTAGCATTCAGGTACATGCTCACACACATCTGCAAACGCTTCATGGGTCATGGGACACACGCTCAAACAAATAAAAAATATATACTTTGATTTAGATGTCACCTTTCCAAGGGTCAGATGGAGGAGTTGACTCCAGCACAAGTGGCATCACTCCCAAAGGGCACGGTCATCTCTCGCCTCCGCTTCATCCCCAAGACGGACGGCATGAGGCCTATCACCAGAGTTATCGGAGCGGATCCCAAAACAAGGGTGTGTTTCTACTAATGTGTATATGGGATTTATTATTGTGTGTCTTAAGTTTGTCCAGGACATTTTAGATTTTCTTCTTGCAGTTTTATAAAGGCATTAGTCGGAACCTGCTGGAAATTCTGCGCGCTTGCGTGGACTCCACACCTTCTCTCCTCGGCTCCACTGTGTGGGGCATGATGGACATCCATAAAGTGTTGGCAGCTTGGGCTCCAGCTCAGAAGATGATGCCTCAATCTCTTTACTTTGTTAAGGTGAAAAGAACACTTACACAGATTCTTTTTTTTTTTTGTATACATTTGACAAAATCGAAAGAGGACTTTTTGTCTCCATCATGTTAGCACGAGTCAAAGTTCAGTGGCAACGGAAGAAGGAAGACATGCCATTTATACCAGTGAAGCCCAGTATAGTATTATCATTTCAACCTTCATCCGTCATATGTTTGTTTTTAAGGTGGATGTTAGTGGAGCCTATGAGAGTTTGCCTCACGATAAACTGACGGAGGTGGTTGACCAGGCCGTATCTCCACTCAAGAGTGAGCTCCTCCTTATCCGCCGCTATGCAAAGATATGGGCTAATTCTCACGAAGGCTTGAAAAAGGCCTTTGTTAGACAGGTAAACCCACGCACATGTTTGGGTATGATTTTTTTTTTTTAATTTTTATTTTTGAAGTAATCTTATTTGTCTCCATACAGGTCAGTTTCTTGAAAGAAGTCGGGGGTACCATGAACATGAAAGGGTTTGTGACGTGGCAGCAGAGGATAGGCAAGGTTCATCACGCAATACTGGTAGAGCAGGTAGTGTCTTCAGAGGTTCATTAGATAGCATTATAAGTGTGGAATGACATGCCTCTTCATTGTTCACTACTTCTCTCATTGTCTTAGCACTTTACCTCAGATCTGCAGGGCGAACATGCGTACCAGTTTCTTGTCCAGATGCTCACGGGCAGTGTCGTTCAGTTTGGGAGAAAGTAAGCTTGAAACACTTATTTAATATTTTGACAATATTAAGACAATATTCATAAACACCTGAAAAACTTAAATCTTGAATAGCATGCATTTTATAATCAGTAGCTATAATAAGTCTGTGCACTGTAAGAACTTAAGCTATATTTGTCTTTTAAATTAAGGATTTTTCAAAATATATTTTGTACTTGATTAAAAAAGTAAAAACATTAATTATTTGTATCTGGGGCGGTGTTTGTTTATTTGTTTTTCTCATAGAACGTATCGACAGTGCAGAGGAATCCCTCAAGGCTCGGTTGTGTCCAGTCTGCTCTGTTGTCTCTGTTATGGTCACATGGAGAATGTCCTCTTCAAAGACATCACTAAAAACGGGTACAATTTCCAACCTCTAACTTCGGTCTTTACTAACTGCAGTAGCACACAAGTGTCACAAGAGGGCACTGTTTCTTTAACTCTACTGCGTCTCCTGCAGGTGTCTGATGAGGTTGGTGGACGATTTTCTCTTCATCACGCGGGACTTGCACGAAGCGCAGGAGTTTCTCAAGTACGACGCAGACGTCTGCTTGGTCAGACATGTAGTTAGTCATGAAGTAGAGAAGTTTATGCTAAAATAGGAATTTCTGTTAAAAATAACTATACTTAAAATACAACCGGAATACACCATTTCCTATCTGCTTTTTATTGACTTGAGCTGTTAATATTGTAAATATTGAATTGTTTATTTATATATAATTATATATATAGTAAGTTATAATTTTTTTTAAAGATTTGTATTTATTTTTTCCTATGAAATCATTGGGGAGACCTTTTTTTTCTTTGTGTCTAGGGTCCTGCTGGCTGGTATTCCACAGTACGGTCTGGTGGTCAATCCACAGAAGGTGGTAATAAACTTTGACGTGCCAGACTGTCTCCCCTCTGCTTCTGACATCCATGTGCTGCCGACCCACTGCCTGTTCCCCTGGTGTGGTCTGCTGCTCGACACGCGCTCACTGGATGTCTACAAAGACTATAGCAGGTGAAAAGTCACACTGGTTAATTTATTCCTCACGGTGTTTTATATTTTCTATTTCAGAAGTTACTAGGCTTAGTCAGTCTTTATGGCATCTTGTTAGCCGCGTCAGTGACCCCATGCACTTTGTATCGTGTTGTAAACATTCTTATGTAGGCTAATCGCACGGAGAGTTCAGCAGTCTATATGGGTTTTTATGGGACACGCCTACCTGCATGAAACTCACTCAGGCTGCAGTTCATTTATTCAATGGGCTTTATTCAACATATAAAATAAAGCCCATTGTTGTACATAATCCTAATGCACCAGTGATGTGACACACAGTGATGCAAACCAATGTCAGTGATATCGGTTGTCTCTAGGCTTTAAAATTAAAAAAAAAAAAAAAAGGCCCCCGACCCAGGGGTTTGAGCTAGTGTTTCTTTCTTTAAATGACAAAGCATCTTGTGTTTTTTTTTTTTGTTTTTTTGTTTTTTTAAATCACGGTGTTGCTCACAGCTATGCTGGCCTGTCGATGCGCTACAGTCTCACTTTGGGATCTTCCCATGCAGCCGGACAACAGATGAGGAGAAAACTAATGGCTATTCTCAGATTCAGATGCCATCCATTGTTTGTAGACCTCAAGGTGAGAGAAATAATGATATAACGATAAACATATATATATATATACACACATATATATACACTATTATATATATATATATATAATTGTATATATATGTGTGTGTGTATATATATATATATATAATAGTGTATATATATGTGTGTGTATATATATATACACACACACATACATATATACACATATATATATATATGTGTATATATGTATATAAATATGTATGTATATGTATATATGTATGTGTATATATATATACACATGTGCCTGTATTAATAGTTACATTATTTGGAATCAGTCAAAAAAAGAAAAAAAAACTGGTGTAAAACACATACATCTACCTGTCGTTTCTTATTTTTTCAGCAATATAAAACAGTTTTTGGTTGTATTTTAATGTTTATTTATCTAGATTAATCATGATTAATTACATTAAATACGGTCCTGATTAATTGTGATTAGTCCACAGCTATCCAGCAATTAATTAGATTTGCAATTTCAAATTTGCAGTTTATTTTGTGATCCTACTGAATTGTTTTCTTCTGTTGTTTTATTTTAAAGTTTTTCTTCTTTCTCAGACCAATTCTTTTGAGGCAGTCTATAAGAACGTCTATAAGCTGGTGTTGCTTCAGGCCTACAGGTGAGTAGGGGAATTGTCTTCAATGTTTGTGAAGCTAAAACTGCTCATTTATTAAATATAATTAAATCACAACCAGCATTTCTACCACAAAATATATACCATGTCGATAATGACAACACATTAAAATTCCACTTCACTGCGTGCTCACTGAGCCTGACCTAATGGTGAGGCCCGTCGAGGTAAGAATGTGTTTAACTAAACATGGGTTAAATTGTCAATCAATAGCTGAACCTTTTATCTGGGAATGTAAATGTGACCCTGTTTCCTTCCTCTTAGGTGTTTTTTTTTTGTTTTTTTGTTCTGTTTTTCTTCTCCCAAGGTTCCGTGTGTGTGCCCAGAGTTTGCCCTTTGGTCAGACGGTTGCTAAGAACCCTGGCTACTTCCTGCAAATGATAGGCGACATGATTGATTACACCGATCATCTCATTAGGCTCAGCAACAAAGGCAATATTTCCTGTAACTTACTGAATATCTGAGGATTATTATGTAAAAAATATATATATATTTTTTTTTTTACTTATTCCTCTTTGTCTTTATTTCTCTGTGCTCTTTTTTAAAGGATTGGTGTTAGGCACCAAAGCCCAGACTGGGCCTGTACAGCGTGAAGCAGTGGAGCTCATTTTCAGTCTGTCCTTCCTAAAGGTTCTGTCACCGCATCGTTCTCTGTACAAGGATCTGCTCTCACACCTGCACAAACGTATGTCGCTCTTAAATGCAGTAGTAGGAACAAAGATGGTTTAGATTTTCTGGTGGAAAAAGTAAAGTATATCTGAGTAAAATAGAAACATAGAAAGGACTCAGAGCAACAAATGTTCAACTTCCTGTCGAAGGTGTTTGATTACAAAATAATTTTTTTTGTGTTTTTTTTAAACCTTGTAATTCCACCACTGTGTCTAATTATATCATCACATTAGTCTCAGTACAGTAAGTGGTGTTCAGTACAAAAGTTATGTTGGTTAAATCCGTGTGTATACAGTATGTGTCTGTACATGAACTTTAAGGACAAGAAAATGTACTTCATCGATCAATTACGAGATCTTGCATGCTAATCACTGTATATTGCTTTTACCAGGTTTTTTTTTTAACAGATGCAGAAAATAATGCTCTTTTTTTTTTTCTTCTTCCAGGGAAGCGCAGCCTGGAGCAGAGTCTCGGGGACTTGAGGTTGGCCAGAGTCCGACAGGCTGCCGAACCGAGGATTCCGGCTGATTTCTTGGCCATTAAGATGTAGCAGGTCTGCTTGCAAATTCTACTACTCACAGCCTTGTTTTTCAGCAACCGCGGATGTTTTATTACTTACGGTATCCGTTTATCAAAGATCACAGATGGCATCAGCCACCCCCCGTTTCCCGATCTGTCAGTGAGCCAAAGCGACTACTGCGCCGTACCTTTACTCCCTTTGGACTTTGGTTTACACTTCTTGGTAGTTTTCCTTGAGGATCACTGACAATCACTTTGCACATAAATTATACGTTCATTTGTCCACAATTATATTGTTACTCATTACAGTGTGTTTACACAGTCGTACTCAGTGTCATAGTTCTCAGAAGCAGTGGTAAACAGAAGCAGTGAGGTGTGATTGTTAATCTAGATTTATGTGTGAATTTACCATCAGTCAGGAAAGAACCTTAGAGCGATGTTGATGATTCTGCTCAGAACAGCTGTGATTTTATTACTTTCATTTTCTCCGAATTCTCTAGTTTCTTGTACCCTGTGTTTCAATCTCAAATCCCTCGTTGAAGTAGGGTGTCGGGTTAGCTTCTGCCGGCGCCCCCGTACGCCCATATCGGATCAGTTTGTACAGAGGGACAAGAACGATGGGCAGTACAGGTACCGTTGAGAGGAGGATGATGATGGCGAAAACCCAGTTTGGATACGGCTTTGTTTCAGTTTGAGGGAATAATTCCTAAAAGAAATGACAAGTGTTAAAAAAAAAAACGTTTGTGTTTTCAGTGTGTCTTTAAAGCCTTTGACAAATCTTGTCCATTCTTGGTTGGCACAGTCTTTTTAGTAATTGAGTGTTGTTTGTTTGTTGAGTGTGGTTTTTTTTTTCTTAGAATTTCCAACCCTCTCTTCTTTTTTTTATATTGGAAACATATCCAAACCTTGAACTCACGTACTGTGTACCTATGTAACATAATCTAGGACAGTGGTTCTCAAACTGTGCTACGCGTACCACCGATGGTACGTTAGCGTTCTGTAGTGCTGCATGGGGAAAATTCATTCAAATTAATTTTCACATTCACATTTTGTGGCAAATGTAAACAAGATCGTCTTCTGTGTATTACATCCCGTTAAGATTTTCTTAAGAATTTTTTGCGAGATGGCGACGTAAACACGAAACTTCGTGCACCGAGGAAAGATGATTATCACTCACACACACTTACATAGTCAGGGTTCCACGCCGGGTACATGGGGTGCTCTTGTGCCTGGATGATCACGTATGCAATCAGCACCACGAATAGCATTACTGGGCTGATTACCATCCAGCAAGATACCCAAAAGATATTTGGTGTCTTTCCCGTCATGTAGAAGACATCCTCCTTAAAACTGTCAACAAAAGCAGAGGGGAAAAGTTCAAATAATACACCAGTATAAAGGCGGGAAAAAAAGGTGAAGGAAAGTATTACGTTTTTAGTCCACGGATATAAACGACTCCAATTATCTCCATGAACGCAATAATGAGCAGCGGTACGGAGCCCACGTAGCTGTTGAAGACCTCCACCCAATAGTTCCCTGAACCCATTCCAAAGATGATCGCTATCAGGAAGCTTATCAGGCAGACAATAGCTGGTGATAAGAGGAAGAGACAAATTCAGTCACAGGAGCCAAGGCAGTAAAGTAAACTCTGGTTCATTGTTGTATAAAAACCCTGACGTCCTCACCTGTTACCACCTCATCAGGTAGCCAGGAAGGCACCAGTTTGAGGTCCTGAATGGGTGTGAGCACTCCCCCGATGTTGCCGAACATGGAGGAGAGGCCCAAACTGAAGAGCATAATGAAGAACAGTACGGCCCATACCTGCGAGCCCGGCATCTCTATCACGGCCTCAGTGAACACTATGAAAGCCAGGCCCGTTCCTGAAGCGCTCTGTGCGGGGTATCGGAGAGAAAGTAATGAGGAAGTAGGAACTGACCGTACAAGTTCATGATGTTCCTGTGTTCAGAACAGGGAGGACGCTCCACTAAACTGCTTTATTTTTTTTTTTTACAACATAATAGTTCACCTGATCAAGGAATGTATTCAGGTCACAGGTCCTCAGGTCCAAACTGGCCACATCTGAAGGTGACGTCTGATTGAGATAATCAACCCAGTCCATGTAGTTGTCCAGTGTGATGTTTTGGTCAGCAATGTCAAAGTGGTTGGTCAGAGATATGATGTTCCTGCAGACAAGGTACAGAACATCATCGATGCGAGGCCAAATGAAGATAAGGGTGTTGCATGGAGCTCCGTTCCTGCGCGTACGTACTGCGACACGCAGCTGTTGTAGTTGTTTTTCGCTTTAAATCCCAGGATGGAGAAGATGGATATGGAGGCGTACAGAGAGGTGGCGCTGTTGATAATTCCTACCAGAAGGGTGTCTCTCTCACAGTTGTTTCTGACAAATGTAGAACAGAGTTAAAGACAAGGGACTCACTCTCTCTCTCTATGTGTGTGTGTTTAGGTAGCTGCATGCTTACTTTTCTACGTTGTAGCTGGAGAAAGCAATAAGTCCTCCAAAGCCTACGGACAGAGAGAAGAAGATCTGGGTGGCAGCATCCAGCCACACCTTGGGGTTCTTCAGTATCTCCCACTTGAAACAAAAGCAAAGTGTTGCTAGTCTTTGTAGTTTGTTCAAATCAGATATCAGTTCAGTCAGATATTTTCTAAAATAGAATAACAGAGATGTTGCTAGTCTTTGTAGTTTGTTCAAATGTCAGATATTTTCTAGAATAGAGTAATAGAGACGGCTTTGAAATGAAGGGCTAAGAAATCACTCACATCAGGGGAGAAAAGGTACACCAGCCCATCAGTGGCTCCAGGAAGAGTGAGGGCACGGGTCAGAAAGATGGTCAGGACCAGGGACGGGAAGGTTGTTGTGACATAAACCGCCTGCTCAACAGTAAAAGCATATGAAAATGTTCTAACGATTAACTTTTTTTTTTGTTTCACGGCCATTAAATGAATGAGTACAAACCTTGCCCATGGACTCTATGCCTTTGATGAAGCAGATGTAGACGATGCACCAGGACGTGCCCTGACATAGGATTATCCACCACCGCAGCGACCCACTGGTCTCGATGTCCGCTGTGATGTTCAGGGTCTCACGGTACCAGAAATAATTCACGGGCGTGCTCACCTCACACTCATGATTGTAGCCTGTGTGGAAGCCAAAAATGGGATTATTATATTCTTTGACGACGGGTATAAGGTCTACGCATTTTGGTCAATGTTTACATTCACAGGGAATAGCCATAAAAGCAGTATATGGGCAAGTAGGGTATTTTGGATTTAAAAAGTATTAAGTAATTTTTGGGGCACATATTTCATGGTTACACAATATTTTTTAAGATTTGTCTCACGCAATGTTGGTTTCTGACGCATGTTTTTTACGTTCCCAGAAGTTATAAAAATCCCTAAATGATTTCCCATTGGTATTCAGAGATCATATAACTGACAAAAACAAAAACACAAGGGTGAGAATGATTGACTTGAATGTTATAGTTATAAAACAATAAGATGCAGCGTGATTACCAAACTATCACATAGCTCATCTGAACGTTTGTGTGTAAAAGTTGAACATCTTTATTTCTGTCTCTGTCTCGGTGGTTGAGAAGAGTATTTGTCTCCGTCTCGGTGGTTGAAAAGAGTATTTGCTTAACCCTTCTGATGTTGGGGTTATCAAAGGTAAACAGAATCCCATTTCCTAGTTACCCGTGCTGTTGACATTGAGGGGACAGCTACTCCACGGAAGTGGTTCCTGGAAGGAGTTAAAGAAGTACCACAGAACCCAGGCCAGGATGGTGTTGTAGAAAATGCTTACTAGAAATGATACCACCATGGAGGCAATTCCTGCGAAAATAGATTTCAGATTCAGTTTGATGGCCGTTTAAGGCAATTCACACTATATGTTTATTTAAAAAAAAACAATAATGAGGAACTCTTTTACCTACCAATGCCACCTAGCATGGGTGAGATGCAGTTCCAGGCACCGATGCTACCCTGGCGTAGCCTCTGACCTATAGCCAGCTCCAGGTAAAGCAGGGGCAGGCCTTGGAATACCAGAGCTATCAGGTAGGGGATGAGGAATGCACCTGGAAGCAAAGTGAATACTCAGTAGACTGTTTAACTTGACAGATACTTGAGGAAAAAAAGACTTTAAATATTGACAACTTTACACCATGACGTAGCCGCGTTGTTTTTTTTTTTTTTATAAAGTACACTACAGTAAATCGGTCAATAGGTTGTACACCAACAAATAGACACTGGAGTTACATTTACTGGGTCATGACCTTGGGTTACACTGTTAACCGTTATAACCTGGGTTATTTCTTACTTTACCATTAGCCCAAGAAAAGATTAACAGGATTTTTTTTCCCCAGTGATGCAGACTCAGACTCTTTGTTTGGTGCTGATAACATTTCAAAGATCAGCTGTTTGGTTAACTTTACCCTTTTCTTTTTTTTTCCCTTGTGTCTACTCGACTTTCAGGATATATCTCCAAGAGCCAGAGAAAACAAATATTGGAATGTGTCAGGAGGAGAGCTCTGCGTGATCAATAGCACAAAGATAAGGATCGCCACCCCCCGACGTGATCGATTGGATAATGGACAACTTAAGTGGAAAACAGGTACGTAAGAACATTGACACTTAAATGAAAGACTAACCATGTCAAACGTAGTGATAAAACACTCTTACCTCCTCCATAGATTTGGCAAAGGTATGGAAAACGCCAGACATTCCCGAGTCCAACTGCGAATCCTATGCACGTCAACAGGTACTGCACTTTATTATCCCACTTTGGTCTTTCCTTTTCTTTTGTAGTACTCATCGTAGTACTCCTTATCCGATGACAAAACCCAAGTTCTGCTTCTGGGATTTAACACTTTTCTCGCATGTGGCTCACGGGGATAGTATGTTTACATGAAGCCCAGAATGAGCTCTTTGATTCTACCTCAGTGTTTCAGAAGATCTGAGAGGACGAGTGATGTTTAGTCTGGTTCACTCCAAGGGGGCTGAACTTCAACGTCCAATCAGATTCAACCCTGAGTCAGGGATTCAGGCTTTATGGTGTTTTAAATGAAGAGGCCAGGCTAAAAAAAAATTTGACAAAGAGAAAGGAATGTTCTTTTATTAACCTTAATGGGTAACTTTTTTTATTGAAGTCAATAAAAAGTACAATAATTTACAAAAGTTTGATATTTGAGGAATGGTAAAACTCTAAATATTGAAGATTGTGCTCAAAATAATTTCCTGCTACAGGACTCAAACTTAGACCATCATTCTGCAAATTCTGCCGGGATAAACCGAGGAAGAATTAAAACATGTTTTTAGGACAGAAACGGTTCTAAAAATGTACCATGAACACGATTACCGTTACATCAGACCTAATTTATAACTTGATTATGAATCTCCATAGTTACGCTGTCAATCAGTATAACAGGAACTCATGGTATCCTGTGAATAATTTTGCTAAACATCACTCAGTTTTTACGTTGTAGCATCATGCAAAAGCCTTGAGAACTATCTGAACTTTTCCTTGACATTGGAAGAAGGAGACTATGAACCATGTGGAATTTTTGCGAGATTTGTTTGAAGCAATAAAATAACTGCTAAGACTCTGAGTAGTTTGCTGTGTTCGGACACTGATTGTTTGGTGTTTTGAGGTTCCGTCATCATCTCCCTCAAATTCTACAGATTGTATTTGAATCTTTTAGCCGTCCTCCAAATACAGTTAGACTTCAACATTCACACGGATGGACGTTTATAAAGAACATTTGCGTTTTTCTGCCACCTGTTGGTGTAACGATGCTTCTGCAAAGACCTGATATGGAATGAAGGCAAAAAAAAGTCAAATTTTGTCACACATTTAATGAACACAATCAGAAACAAGTGCTATAGTATCAACAAAAGAAAAAAAAAACATACATTTACAAAACGTGTGTGTTTATAAAATTTTAAATGCCTCTTATCGCTGTTCTATTCTCAGGTGCAGTGGAAAAATCACAATTGAAATATGAAAACTACTGCTGGATATACTGTAATAATGGAAACCATTTGAGGACAATAACAGGAAGTCCCAGTAGGAGAGGGCCACAAAGCCGGTAAGGGAGGAACCAAGGATTAAAATGTGTCACTAAATTATATTTATCAAGATAGGCACAAATTTTTTATTGGTTTATGTGAGGTCCATAGTGCAGTGTAGAAGCTATAGTTACATTTATACAGAATTACACATTTCTACATTCTAATAACATTCACATATTTATTCATACCTGCACGGCAACTAGAAGTTCTAGCTGTGATCTTAGGTGAAAGAGAACGGCGACAGTATGTTGTTTTGTTTTTTGATCATGTAAGATTGGCTGAAACTTGATTGGTGTGAAAACCTTATCTGATAGGCACAGATAAGTCGGTGACGTCATGTATTGCTGGTTGAACTGCTATCTGACTATGAAGGCTGACTGGATTTATTAGTCATACGTGTTTTGGTTTGTTGTTCGTTGTCCATTCAAATATGAAATATCGTCACTTTGGATTCTTGGTGTTCACTTGTCCGCCTTATTTGGGCAGAGAAACTAGTTCACACTGGTTCTGTGACCTGTCTGTATCTCAGCTATCCGCACCATCCTGTTATGTAAACGATCAGAATAACAACAACACTCAATAATAGTATGAATTGATATAGAAACTTAATATAATTAACACATTGTAAAGATTGAATTTCTGTATTTACAAAAACCTAACATCATCCTACATGTGTGAAGAGCCGCGGGTTGTAGACCTCGACCCTAAAGGTGGCAGAGATGAAACTGCTGACATTTAATTTGGAAATAACTAGGAAGTGGCGGCACTAGGCTAGAGAAAAGTGAGAGAGGAGACGTGAACAGGAAGAAAGTTGGTGTAACATTGAAGGAAACAAGTGAAGTAGAGAAGGAACGAAGAAGACGTTGTTCCATGTTTTAATCACTGTAAAAAAAAAGAAGTTTGATTTGTCAGAGTTTTTTCCTGCAGTAAACAAATGCTAGCCTACATATCGCATACATCGGCACCACCAGACTGGGTATTCCCGCCAGGACAAATATAACAGCGTTGACCCAGGAAGGATATGGCATTGATGCCAGATAGGGAAACGCTTCCTGTAAACCATAAAAAAACAGGATGTTTAGTATTTACTGGTCAATGTATCCATCTGAGAATCGATAACAGATGAATGTTGACACTGAGGTCAAGGTCAGATGGTTTATTAACTTACAGAATTGGGGTCCCACACTAAGTGTGTGAGTTCCTCTTGACCTTGGACCACCATGTAGAAAACTAAGATAACCAGGATGATTAAAGGGCTAATAAACCTCCACGAAATCTGCCAGAAGATTGACGGTTTGTGGCCAATCATGAACTCCAGATCTTCGCAGAACCTGAAACATGAGAGTAAACTTAAACTTAAACGTGAGAATATCAAGTGACAACAATGAGCAGAGGCTTTTTTTGCTTATGTCAAATATGAATTTAGGATATTTGTGAGGATGTTTTTTTGGTTGAAATTGCGTTTTTTTTTATGTAGCATTTGAACCTAGTTATGTGTCGTTCGCGAGTGATTCGTTCAATATGAACACATTGTTCATATGACTCGTAACTCTGCGAGTAATGAGTAATGAACTTTTTTTACAACGTAATGAAAGCAATGAACTTCTTTACAATGCCCACAATAGGGCTATAGTGCCACCTGCTGTAGATGAATGAAATAATTCGTTCAAGATTCGTTCACGATTCTTTCATTTTACTGTTCGAGAGATCCGAATTAGTAAAAAGAGTCGGTCTTCCTAACACTAATAAACACACAACATAAAACCAAAATATTTAAGTTGTGCAAAATATCTAGCTAACAAATTATTTGTTTCTTGTTCACTGACCTGTCAATGCCGTAAATGTGCACAACTGCTATTAGTTCAATAAACCCAATGGTCAGAAGAGGAACAGATCCAGCAAAGTTGTCGAAAAGAGTCACCCAGTAAAACCCTGACTGCTGCGCAAACAGCAGAGAGACGACGAAGGACACGAAGCAAGTGGCTCCTGTAAAACACAATGCGTTAGCAGAGAAACGGCGTCCGACTTTTTTAATCAACCGTAACCAAATGACAGGGAATACCGGTGATAGCTTCTTGTGGCCAACTTTGAGGAACAATGTTGAGGTCTTTTAAGGGGACTACCACTCCTTCAATGTTGCCAAACAGGGTTGAGATGCCCAAGCACAGAAGCATGAGGAAAAAGAGAACGGACCAAATGGGGGAACCTGGCATTTTAGTGATGGCCTCTGTAAATACAACAAAGGCCAAACCTGTTCCTTCCACCCCCTGAAAATAAAAGCCCACATTAGTTTAGCAAACATAACACCCTAAGAAGATTTCGATTGATTTTCTGCGACGTCTGTACCTCACTGAGAAATTTCTGCAGGTCACATGTTTGGATGTTCAGTCTCAGAACTTCATCGGAATGGGAGGTGTTGAGGCGGATCAGCTCTGACTCATAGTTGCTGGTAGTGATGTTATCTTCGCTCAGGTCAAACGCGTTTAATAATAGCCTGATGTTCCTAAAACGAAAGTGCACAGCTGGTCAGCCACCTGGCATTAGAGTAATGACTGAGTCATTTGGCTCTATCACAGTTACCTGACGCCATAATATTTCCCTCAGTGATAAACAACAGCTGATTTCTAAAACAAAAGCATACACACACACACACGGGAATCACTAATCATACATGATCATATAGATACAGTAATGCTTCAAACAAATTCTTAATCTCCTTACCCTATAACCTGAGAGCTGCCCACTGGACTTTAGGGTCACTCCTTTATAAAGATTTTTGTTTTTTTAGTTTGCAGGTGTCGAGTATTGATTGATCCTGTAATTCAGTGCCAGTCACAAGTTAATTGCTTCACATTCATTCGCTGTAAAGAAAATGCTGTGTGGTATGATTCTGTTTTTGTCGCACCGGATGGACCTGAGCACTTTCAGAACATGTGAAGAAGTCTCCAGAAAACTATCGTAGCCTTTTTTAGAACTGCGGATCCTGACTGACTGAAAAAAATCACGATAAAAAGTGGGCTTCTGCATGATGATTGGATGAACTGTTTATGAAGTGAAACTATGAGATACATGAACACAGATACAATGCTGTCATCTAGTGGCCTTCACCTTAATATACAGCCATTTATCCCCAAAGCTATTTTTAGGGCACACATTATCGGTTTTCATTATCGGAAGAAAAAGCGATAACATTACATAATATGCTAATATCGGGCGATATTATTGGACATCCCTAACTGTAACGTTCTGTCAGTGCTCAGGCCCTAAACAAAAAAGGTTTTTAAACTTCGGCAACTCTGTGGTTGATATTTGAGTGTATTTAAAAAAAGAATTTTGTCATGACTCACTGATACAAGGTACTCACTCACTAATACAGCTATCATATTTCTCAGTAGCCCTGAAACCAATGATGGTGTAGGTGACCGTGGCAACATAGATAGCCGTCAGGCCTGTAATTGCAGTCAACACCACGGCGTCTTTCATGCAGTTGTTGCTTGAAAAAATAAAAAGTTAAATGTGAAACAATCAGGATATATTTTCATCTGCCATAAAATGTAAAAGTAATTCTTTGCATTTCTTACTGAATGGGGTTGTAGCTGGAGAAAGAGATGAGGCCTCCCCACGCTATACTGAACGCATAAAAGACCTGCGCACCCGCATCCAACCAAGTTGTTGCTTTCATCAACTCGTTCACCTGCAGACATGAGGATTACGTTGTGTTTTATTATTTATCTGCCTTAAAAAGAGAAACAAATATTTGGTAGAAGTTAAAAACATACATCTGGTGTGAAGAGAAACTCCACTCCATTCAGGGCTCCTTTCAGGGTCAGTCCTCTGACCAGGAAGATAGCCAGCACTATGTACGGCAGGATGGACGTAACATACACTGCCTGAGATTTAGATCGTGTTAAAGGAATCACGTTAGGGAAATCGCAAGCGGACCAAAACAGTGATCATTTCGAATGTTAGCCGCTTCACAAACCTTGCCTGACGTTCCAATCCCTCGAATGTAACAGAGGCAGATGACGGCCCAGGCAGCTAACAGGCAGACCACCATGGGCCAGTGGATTCCTCCAGAGTCTGCTATAGAGGCCGTGGTGTTCAGGGTCACTCGGTAATAATAGTAATCCACAGTTGAACTCCGTTGACACTCCGATACGTATTCTGCATATGTATATATATATATATATATTTAAAAACTTGGTTTGTTTTGACAGTAGACAGTGACGTCCTTCTTTTTCGGTGTGTGTCTGTCCTACCTGTCCCGTTGTCGTTCAGAGGACACTGTGCCCAAGGCAGAGGGCTCTGGAAGGAGTTGAAGAAATACCACATGATCCAGGCGATCAAGGTGTTGTAGTAGAGTCCGATCATGAACGACACTAGCATGGAGGCTATACCTGAGCGGTGATAGGGGTTTTACTGTAATGAATCTCTAATGTGAAGCTAGAATTCTGTCGCCATGGAGATGGTTAGCTGCCCTTACCGATGCCGTTCAAATAGGGGCTGATGGATCTCCACACTCCCACACTGCCTTTCCTCAGACGCTGACCGATGGCGAACTCCAGCAGCAGGAGAGGCATGCCCTCCAGCACCAGCAGAATGAAATAAGGGATCAAAAACGCACCTGAAAAAGATGTAGCCCTATTAGCTTCCACCACACAGGAGAGAAAATTTAAATGTGAAAATTATGAATTTTTCCCGCGTACCACTAGAGAGCGCTCGCGTACCACCGGTGGTACGCGCACCACAGTTTGAGAACCACTGCTTTAGACTTATATCCATGCTAATAGATGACACCGGGCGTAGATACTGTAAATAATTAGCGCTCTTCGGTTAATCCCGATCATACGCTTAAATGACTTTTTCCAGTTGCAAATAATACAGTTATAAAAGTATTTAGAAATGCTGTGTCATTCTGTGCGGTGGTAAAAACATCATATCATTCGTACCATGGGAATTCCTTAAATGACCTTTGATACCGCCCATGCTGCTGCATCTACAGGTCTCTCTGTTGTCCGTTGTTTTCCTACACGTTGGCAGCACTAGGCGGGGTTAACCTTTCGGTCGGGTTGATGAGTTCAATCAATAAATGTACAGCTGCAGCCGTATTGTGGAATCGGAATCGTAAATACCAAACAGTCATGTGACTCAAACTGTCACCCGTCTTATTGCCGCGGGCTCTGCTGACTTTCTTAGAAATGTTCCTAGAAACAATCGTCGTCGTTAACAGCGGCAGCATCAGTTGTCGTGCGCTGTGGTCTTATTGCCAAAGTTAACTGAGGATTAGGACCAAGAAGAGACAATTCTTGGTCCTTTTTTTAACACAGTCTGATTACATTTCTCCTAAAAACGTCTGTAATATATCTTATTTTAAAGCAAAAATATTCCTACATTTCTTACCTTTATAATGTTATAGGCTCTCATACAGACCCTTTCACTCTCGTTTTGACAACAATGCATTCTAATTCCTTTGGTAAACACTCAGTCTTGTGCATTTAATCTTCCATTTTAATGATTGAAATATTGTTTGTTTTTAAAATTACATTTTTTTTAAATTTCCCTGAAGGATCCCTAAAGTTTTATCCAATTAAATTTGATTCAATTTCTCAAATTGTATTCTCACAAAACTAAAATAAATGCATATACAATTTAAAAAAAAAAAATCCTTTTGCAGGTTTAATTCCATCCCATTTGATCAAAGTCTGGGAGCATTCATATTTCTTAGGTCTAATATTCAATGGTCCTTTGACCTATTACTATTATGTGTTAATAATATAGGCCAAGATAAGAAAGATTAAAGTCAGTTTTGATTTCGGAAGTATAAGAGACATATCTGGTGTAGCTCACCTCCACCATGACTCTGACACAAATATGGGAATCGCCACACGGTGCCAATCCCGATACAGAAGCCCACGCAGGTCAGGATGTACTCAGATTTGTTAGCCCACTGGGGTCTGTCGCTGACCTTCTCCTTTTCCATCCGTTCCAGATCCTCATAGTTCAAGATCCGGCCCTCCAGCCCCGGGTTAGGAATCACCAATCTCATGCTTGCAGTGATAAAGCGGGGGAGATGTTGACTGTATCCTTCGTGTAAGTTACACTGACACGACTGCCGTGGACTGACACACATTTTATGATCTTTAACTTTATCTGCGTGTGAGGCTGATTAGGTAGAGCACAAACTCTGTACTTGTATTTTATATCACCGTCATTGCCTCGGTCTTGCTGGTGAAAAAATAATAAAAGGTGTTATATAACTGGAACCCCGAGCAGGAAAAAAGAAGAAGAAATTATTATAAGCTTAAAAACAATTTACAATAACTTGCAAATATATTATTTATACTCATACTTTTACTACTTGTGAAACATCGTCACGTAGAAGCATGAGGACGATAGTTAGATCCTCTGCTGTCGTCTTCTCTCGCTAAATCCATTAAACGTATTTAATTTCAAAGGAAAAATATTTTTAAAAATAATGCCAAACCTCAGACTCTGACTTCATCTTCATGAAGGATCAGAATTTTGACCAACAAAATGAACATTTTATTTATTTACGCAACCAAAACTGCAGAAATACAAACTACTTTTTTGTTATTATAATTATAAAAAAAACTATTCTTCATGTATTTACTTGATTAACTACTGCATATTATCTACTGCTGTTAACAGTGGGATAAAATTAATATTGAGCAAAATTAAGTTCAACGCTCTGTTGTCCCTCATTGGTGAAAATGAATCGCCCAATCAGAGAGCCACCTTGTTAGAAGGTTAAATAGGAACAAATTTCTATTAAGACGAAGCAATGAAAAAGACGAACATTTAATCCCAGTGAGAGACACTGGGATGAGGTGAATCAATTAATGTTTAACTTTCTTAGAAAAACTTCTGTAGACTTCTCCAAATCTGTGTAATCATTAAAGGGAGTCAGGGTTTTAATTTTTCGCATTTCTGAACGTTACCTCATCTCAACCGTAAGATAAGATAAAATAAGATAAGTCCGATATTCTTCCCACTGTGTATTGTGGAAATTTACAGCAGCAAAGTACAGAACAGTAGAGAGTATAAGGAAAATAAGGAGCAGAATAGTTACGGAAAAAATAACTGTTTAATTGTTTTATATATATATATATATATTGCTAAGATAAGTGAATGATACTGCATTGTACTTATTTCAGTTTTTACAAATATTAAAAATGGTAATGCGGATGAACTCTTATTCAAGTTCTTATCAAAAACACTGTTATCGACAAGCGCTGTAAAATCCAACATCTTTGAAGGTAATGTAATGCCTCAGTCCACGTGGCATGGGCAATCATGATATATGAAGGCACCATAAAAGCCACGTCTTTCACAAATGTAAGAAAATGCGGTAAGAAAATGTTATTTTTAATCGTATGTTTGCAGGTGACAGTCTGCAAATATTAAAAAAAAGTAAAGAAAGTTTGTGCGTCACTAGCCTGCCTGCAGTCCAGATCTGATTGTATATAAAATGCCCCGTGGCATTTAAACCAGTAGCTCATAAAATAAAACCGAGTTTTATAATGCTGTTCTGCTGCTGTGTACTACTGTAAGCTTTGATGCACGCACGTGTACTTCATGCACTTGATGTACTTTGTTGAATCCTATAATATGAGCCAGACATTTTACAATGGTTGAAAAGTGGGAACAAACGTGGGAAGAGTCTGCAGACTCTGGACTCTAGACTTCAGGACTTGTCTCGTCCTGCACGTCTCAAGGCGATTTTGACATACCCATATAAGTACCCATATAAGAGAGTTGGTGATGCTTCATGAGGATTCACGAAGGTCAAAGGTTAGGTAACTAAACCACTCACTAATCCATTTTCATCTCCAGTTAATATCGTGATTAAAAAGGGAATCTTCTAATGGAGTTTAGTACAGGTACTTAAATGTAATGTGTTATTACGGTTAAGGATCTTCTCAGAAGGAAGTGCTGCGACTTTTCCTAGAGAGAAGTAGTGAATGAAGGAGTGTGATGAATGTGTTACCATACAGTATACTGTGCTGCGTTAAAGTTTAATAAAGCGAGAAACGTGTTTCAATCGGAAGGATGTTACAAACATAAGTATTTGTGGAAATAAAAAAAAATAGTCCATGAAGAGAAATCCAAATTAAATCAATTAAATCATCGAAAGCAAAATGCAGTCTGTACTGCTATTTTTCATGCTAAAAAAAAACATTTTTTTTAATTTTATAAATATAAAATATATTGCACTGTTTGTTTGTTTTTTAAGTTTACTTTGTTGGTAGTTTTATATCATTAATATGATGAGAACATTCGTAACTTTCTGTCTATTTGTGACTTCTTTATTAAGAAGTCTGATATTATTAATGTTATTTAATTACATTACATACTGTTACTTATTATTTTAGTGTGTGTCGTTTGTGCATTATCAAGAGTACACATTCAGGTATATATTTATTTTCATATATTTGTTGTGGTGCCCTCCCAACCCAGGAGGGCCATCAAAATGGCGTCTCTTTATTTATAACTATTTTGCTGCTGCTGCTGTTTTCCCGGCACCGTGATGTCGCCCTCTCATGGACATTTTGATTATCTCTATCATTTCTGTGCAGTCACGCAATCCAGGCTAGGTTTACTGCCCTGTGATGTCACACAGTCGTAGTGCTGTTTAAGGTCAAATGATCCGTGGTATCGTGTCAAGTCAACTGTTGCTACTTGTGTAAAGTTACTCTTTAACCCATCACCTCTTCTCTAGCGGGTAGATAATGAGTGCGTGGATTTTTCCACAGCTCCGTTGAACACAATGCAGTGATTTTATTATTTTTTTTATTAGGTTTGCAATAAAACTTTATTTTTTCCAATTTTCACACACGAAGATCGAGAACAGGTGAGCCGGTATGACGAAGAATTAAATCCTGAAATAAGCAATGGCATTTGTTTGAATTTCCATGATGTACTTTAACTTTCTTAGACCAAAGACACATGTTTTGTAGATTGATATGTTGTTGTGGAATATTTCAGGCAGATTTCAAATGTTCAGTTTTTCTTTTCTTCTCTTTTTCCCACATGAAACGTAGACCAGTCGACAAAGTGCATAAACAGGCAGCGCCAAACTGGGGCCTCCTGCTAAAAGAAATATGACGGCGTTGATCCATGAAGGGTAAGGAGTAGACACCAGAGATGGGAACTTCTCCTGTAGAACGTAAGGATGTTTGTCAGTGACTTGAGTGAACACTTTTTTTAAATAATAATATTCGTTTTCACTCACAGAGCTGGGATCCCAGGTTAAATAACTCAGTTCTTCTTGGGCTTGCTTCACCAGGTAGAAAACTAAAATGACCAGGATGATTAAGGGACTGACGACCCTCCACATCACCTGCCAGAAGATGGACGGCTTATATCCAACCATGAACTTTATATCTTCGTTTAACCTGCCACACAAGAGGGACGTGATGAAGTATTTTGCTGTGATATTTCAGTTATTTATTTGGCAGCCTTAAGGTAAGTCGGTAAAAATAAAAAATCACCTGTCTACACCGTAGATGTAAACGATGGCTACCATCTCGAACAGCCCGACAGTCAGAAGTGGAACCGATCCTGCGAAGCTGTCAAAGACCGTCACCCAGTAAAGCCCTGAGCGTTGGGCGAACAGGAGGCAGATGATGAAGGCCACGACGCAGGTAATTCCTGAAACACATTCACAAACAACGACAAAGTGTTAAAGACGGTGGCGTTCTGTAAAAAAAAAAAAAAATTCAATTTATTTTTTAAGGTTTTCCCTGACACCTTTTACCTGTCAGTGCTTCATGCGGCCATTTTTTAGGAAATATGTTCAAGTCCTTCAAGGGGATCACCACTCCTTCGATGTTGCCGAACAGAGTTGACAGTCCCAGACAGAAAAGCATGAGGAAGAAGAGCACAGACCAGATGGGAGAACCGGGCATGTTGGTGATGGCCTCTGTAAACACGATAAAAGCCAGACCTGTTCCCTCCACTCCCTGGACAAACATACACCAGTAACAACATACTGTAGGTAACTAATAGTAGTAGTAACTGAGTACAACCTGATAGATACTGAAGTATAAATACCTCACTGAGAAGTTTCTGCAGGTTGCAGGTTTTGATGTCCAACCCAGACACGACGTCAGGATAGGAGCTGTTCAGACGATTCAGTGCCTCCTCATAGTTACTTGAAGTGATGTTATCTTCAGGAAGATCGAACGCATTTAATAATGTCATGACGTTTCTAAAAGAAAAAGGCATCGTTGATTAGGAACTTTAAATGCATCCATCTATTGTTTTATTTATTTATTTTTCTTAATTTGACTTCCTACAAATGCATCATTTACCACATGGTTCTTTAGGGGTGCACTGGCCATAGGGGGCACCCGTGAGCCAGCCATTAGCGACAGGACGTTGTTTATTTATGTTGTGATTAGTGGGAATGCCCATTAAACTAATGCATCTATAAAACGCGAACCCATTGGTTCGTTTCTTAACTGACATGAGCCCTATCCAATCATATGTGGCTGTTCCTTTGGGTCCGTGTCAGCGTGAAGCGTGCGTTTGTAGTTGAACACGTGAAGTGTTGGTGACTTTCGGTTTATTTGCTTATTTATTTTATTTGTTTATTCGCAGATTCGTAAAAGACGCAAATGAAACGGCAAGCAGGCGCAGAGAAGCCGCGTGACGCAAGAGCTGGTTCTGCAGGCAGACGCGGCCAAAAGTGCGGCCAAAGAATATGATATGTTTGCCTCAGCAGACCCTGGAGCTGATGCTGGAGAGTCGGCAGCTGTCCTGAGGTAAGATGTACTGCTTTAACCCTACTGATTTTAACGGACTTTTATATGTATTTTTTTTAAAAAAAGGTATATTACGATGTGGAAAAAAAAAACACACTCACGAGATACTTTGTGGTGCTCGCGAGATACATTGTGGTGCGCACAAGAAATTATCTCGTGCTCAGTATGAAATTAATGTTGGATAGATTTATTTATTTATTAATAATTATTTATTTAATTTTATTGGAAGATATGGAAGTTGGGAAAAAAATGTATGTGTGTTGTTATGTCGTGATAGGATGTGAAAAATGAACGTCATAACATTCCCATGCACCAGTTCAACGGCCTTACGTGATAATGTAGTCTGAAAATCCATATAATAATAAAATAAGAAATTAAGTTAAATTTGGTAAACCAGCCAGCTAACCCTAAACAGGTTATATGTAAACAAACCCTTGATAATAAATAGCCAATAAAACAACCTAAAATAACTCCATCTTTTCTAGAATAGTCTCTTTGTAGTGTTATATCCCAGTAAGTTAGTAAAAAAAAAACTATTTAAAAAGTATTGATTTTATAATGAAAATGATCTTCCTCATTTTGCTGATCAGCGTTGACCTCACCTACTGTGTTTTAGTGTTGGTCACACTGCTGGAGGCAAATATTTTAAGCGGTGGTACAACGCAGTAAATCAAAGTTTACGAACCGTTGCGGTGCGATCACAGACTGATAAGATGTAACATAAACTTGAAACAAGCTAAAACACCATTATAATGTTTAACTTTGTGAGAGGGGATGCATTATAGCTTATATTTTCAACCCATATTAATAAGTCATAGAAAAATACTACGTCTATTTTGCTTTTTGGCACATAAACAGTGTTACTTACCCAGCTACGCAATTGTCATAATTTTCTGTGGCCCTGAAGCCAATGATGGTGTATGTGACCGAGGCAGCGTAGATTGAGGTCAAGCCGTTCACCACAGACAGGATCACGGCATCCTGCACACAGTTGTTGCTAAGGGAAGACATATCTAGTATTTAGAATTCCAATAAACTGTTTTTGTTTTTGTTCAAAACCTTCAGGGAGTGACTCTTACTGCACAGGGTTGTAGCTCGAGAAGGAGATGAGACCCCCCCATGCCAAACTGAAGGCATAAAACACCTGTGCACCTGCGTCCAGCCAAGTAGTTGGGTTGATCAGCTCCTCCACCTGCAGGAGTCAAGCACATCCGGTGACGTCGCTTTCAAGTGTGTGTGTGTGCTACGAATGCTACTGTGTTGGATGTTGTTTAGCTTTAAGGACGCACATCCGGTGTGAAGAGGAACTTAATTCCGCTCCAGGCTCCTTTAAGGGTCAGACCTCGGACCAGAAAGATGCCCAGCACTATATATGGCAGAATGGCAGTGACGTACACGGCCTGTGGTGACGGAAGGATCAGATCAGATTAGTTCACTGGAAATTCTCTGCAGAATACATCGTAGTTGGACTTGGATTATTAATAATTGATTATTATTATTATTATTATTATTATTATTATTATTATTATTATTATTATTATTATTGTTATTATTATTATTAATGATAATACAATTTCCTAACCTTGCCCGCAGTGCTAATTCCTCTTATACAGCAGATGGCGACAACCGTCCAGGCAGCTAACAGGCAGACCACTATGGGCCAGTGGATTCCTCCAGAGTCTTCTATAGAGGCTGTGGCGTTCAGGGTCACTCTGTAAAAGAAATAATCCACAGTGGAGCTCTGTTCACACTCTGGTATAAATCCTGTAGAAGACAGGGAGAAAAAAACTTAAGTTAAAGTTGGGAAATTTCATGAAAAGTCTGGGGCTGCTATCATTCTAAATACCTGTCCCGTTGTCGTTCAGAGGACACTGTGCCCAAGGCAGAGGGCTTTGGAAGGAGTTGAAAAGATACCACAGGATCCAGGCGATCAAGGTGTTGTAGTAGAGTGCGACCAGAAAGGACACCAGCATGGAGGCTATACCTGGATAGAGGATGTAACAGAAATGTTTTAATAGATGTCGGAGTTACTTTTATTTACAGTCTATTTATTTATTTACCTATTCCAGTCAGATATGGGTTGATGGACCTCCACACTCCCACACTGCCTTTTCTCAGACGCTGACCGATGGCGAACTCCAGCAGCAGGAGAGGCATGCCCTCCAGCACCAGCAGAATGAGGTAGGGGATCAGAAACGCACCTAAAAATAAATACAAAATCTAATATTTATAACCTCCCCCTCCCATTGTCTGCATGTGTTGCTTCAGTGTCACGGCACGGCCATTTCTTCTGTTTAGTAAAACAAAAGCTAAGTGTAGTTACAAGCAGCAGAAAAGTAGAACGTAATAAAGGAAGAAACTGTCTTACGGGAAAAAAAGAAGTGCTCCTTAATTATAGACTTTATGGCCTGTCGTTTCTATTGACAATATGCTGATTAATTTTGCCTGTTGATGGAGTATGAGCCGCATTTGTGTATTTTTGTAATCAAATTTTTATAGCTAACTATGAGTACAAAAACGTAATAACTGTAGACGCTTTTACAATAGTGAAACCTTAAATTGTTGGGGGTTTTTTTTGTTTGTTTTCTTTTTGAATGCCCCAGTTTATTTGTCTAAAACTGAATATTTGCTTCGATGTTGAAGGCCAGACGTCTAGTGAGTAAAAAAAATGTCATGTTTAATGTAGACTGATATAAATCAAGTAATCTTGTCTCACACTTCAGCGAGGCAGCAGTATCCAAAGCACCGTATGTAATATTATCAGTACATATTATCATTTATGGAACTATTGACACAGGCTTTATCTTTATGTGCCCGACTACTGATTAACAATTCACTGAATCCACACACCAGATTACCTCTTTAAACGTTTTTTTTTTTTAAATTAATTCATGTTGTCTGCAGCTCACTTTATGTAAAGATGTCCTTTTACACGTACATATAAATGTATGATATATGTTGTTTTAAATTAATGCTCATTTTCAAACTTAGTCATTAGCCAACTCCTGTTCTGAGCGTAGTCAAAATGATTTAAAATAATTCTTTTGGACTTTTTATTTATGTTTAACTTCATTTATCAGCTGGTTTAAACCACCATTCATTTCTGTTAAAAATCTAACTTCTTTTTTTGTTTTGTTTTTACAGACAGGTATTAAAGGCACCATGACCATAAAAATGCTGCGAAAATTCTCAACAACAGAATCATTTCATCTGATTTGGCCGTCCGCTCCGTTCGTCTTCTCTTACCTCCCCCATGACTTTGGCACAGGTAAGGAAACCTCCACACGTTCCCCAGCCCAATGCAGAAGCCCACGCAGGTCAGGATGTACTGGGCTTTGTTGTCCCACTTCTGCCTCCCGCCGGCCTCTTCCTTCTCAATCCTGTCCAGGTCCTCATGGTTAGGAATCCTGAGATCCAGTCCTGGGTTAGGGAGCACCAGTCTCATGGTGTGACCCTGTGTGGACTGAGGGAGAGAGGGACAGGGTCTGTCCAAGTTACTTGGGGTTCGTGTAGCATCATTTACTGCTTTATGGCCTTTTATGTTATCTTTAAGAAGGTAGGCCACAGATTAGAGCGTGAACACTCTGAACTTGTAGTTTTCGATATGAAATTCATTAATACTTGTCAAGTAACGTTAGTAAAGAGACGCACTGAAAGTACTCGAAATTGTAACAATGTTGAAATTACTCAAACGTCCGCAGGAGTATTTTAAACAGCGCTTACACTCGCTATACAGTTATCTGTGCTTTCACGGCGGAGCTATTGATGATGATTACATAAGAGGTCATTACTGGGTGGTGTATTGCAGCATTAGTGCAGTGATGTAACGCACACATTGTCAACACTGTGTATGTTAGTGCAGAAGTGCGCAGATAAGCATCAGCAATTACACAGTGTACACACATTATGTAAGAGTATTTTTATTTACATGAATAACAAAGACGGTTACTGTATTTCTAAACGTTTGCATTTGACGGGTTGTACAAAGAAAGTACGGGCGAACCAGATGTTTGGAAAAATGGGGATACATTGTAAACATCACTTTCCTGATTTGTAAAAAGAAAAAAAAAAGTAAAAATAAACACACAGACTGAAAGTCACACATTTGTTATTATATATTTATTGTTAAAAATAAGTGCATACATTAATAAAATAGATGTGCACCAGCAGTCACCTAGAACATTGTTTAAAATGTGGAATCGAACTTCCTTCTAAGCTTTCAGTGTTAACAAAAAAAAAAAAAAAAACAGGAATAAAACCTATTGGTTTTAGTTAAAAAAAGGTGCAATTTTATTGGGTGTAAATTAGAAATCTGTGATCTTGTGCAGTTCAGGCGATGCGTTTGTGGTTTAGCACATTCTGCTAATTTGTGATGTAGCGACTATCAACGATCAGCAGCCCTCCTTCGATGCCCGAGTTTAGCTGTTTGGTAAACATCAGAACAAATATGTCCTTCATCGTGGTATCTCTGGTTGTTATATTTCCCACACGTTGTCCCGCAGTTAGCAGCACAGGTAACGACTGGTTGGAAGAAGTGTATCTCAGTGTCTGTTATTGTTTCTTACAGCGAACATAGACCAGTCTGCACAATGCATAGACGGGCGTTGCGATACTGGGAACTCCAGCCAAGAGGAAAATGACAGCATTGATCCAGGTTGGATACAGAGATGACACCAGAGACGGGAACTCCTCCTGTGGAACATTGAAAAAAGTAAACAATAGATATTCAGTATGATTATTTATTTATTTAGTGTGAAGCAGGGTTTTATGTTGTTTACTTACAGAATTCGGATCCCAGACTAAATATCGAAGTTGTGACTGAGCTTGTGTCACCAGGTAGAAAACTAATATTATGAAGACAATCAGAGGACTGACGACCCTCCACATCACCTGCCAGAAGATGGAGGGCTTATAACCAACCATGAACTTTATATCGGCATTGAGCCTTTAGAAAAAACACACACAAAAAAAACACTTTAAAAAAGAAATCAACCAAAGACTTTACTAAACCAATAGCACTGCATAAAAAAATAGCCAATAAACTAAATCTCAGAGCACAGCTGATTAACTGCAGTACAGAAGTTGGCCAGGTGGCGTCACTAATGCCACACGTATGTGTTCATGAAAGTATTCCATATCTTTATTTTACAAAAATAATGCTTCTTTATATTGTATCTTAATGTGTAAATGCTGTGTCATGAAGTGTTTTTTTTGTGTTTGTAGATCTTATGCACAAGATTTAAAAAAAATCAAGTCAATATCCAAATAAGAGAGTTTGAAAACTATAAAAAAACAACAACTCACCTGTCTACACCGTAGATGTAAACGACGGCTATCATCTCGAACAGCCCAACAGTCAGAAGTGGAACTGATCCTGCGAAGCTGTCAAAGACCGTCACCCAGTAAAACCCTGAGCGTTGGGCGAACAGGAGGCAGATGATGAAGGCCACAACGCAGGTAATTCCTGAAACACATTCACAAACAAACACAACATCTTTAAGACAGTCGTTTTTTTATGTGTGTTAGTAAATAAAAAAAAAACCCTCTCCTTAACAGTTTTACCTGTCAGTGCTTCGTGCGGCCAATTTTTCGGAAATACTTTTAAATCTTTCAACGGGACCACCACTCCTTCGATGTTGCCGAACAGAGTTGACAGTCCCAGACAGAAAAGCATGAGGAAGAAGAGCACAGACCAGATGGGAGAACCGGGCATGTTGGTGATGGCCTCTGTAAACACGATAAAAGCCAGACCTGTTCCCTCCACTCCCTGGACAAACACGTTCAAATACAGGTGAGTATATTATACTATTTATACCACGACTAGTTTTTTTTTTTTTCTTAAAATACAGTTACCTCACTGAGAAGTTTATGCATGTCACATGTCCTAATGTCCAATCTCGGAATGACGTCCGGGTAAGTGTTGTTGAGGTGACCCAGCATCGCCTCGTAGTTGCTCGTAGTGACGTTGTTTTCAGGAAGATCGAATGCATTTATTAACGTCATGATGTTTCTAGGGAGAAGATATGTCACAGGTCACACATGTTCAATATCCTTGCTCCTATAAAGAAAATAAGAATGGACATTTTTTTTAATACATTCAACAGGATTTATAATTTGCTTTAAGTCATTAAATCTAATTGATAATGCTAACTGTTGCTGTAATCTCAGTTAGCTTGTGTTTTTTTTTTTATCATCACATATTGAACTTTAGTGAAAGCTTTCAGTCACTATTTCTTGTTCATGTTTTATTGTTTATTACTAAACATCGATAAACCCCACTCACCCACTTATGCAGTTTTCATACTTCTCAGTGGCTCTAAATCCGATGATGGTGTACGTGACTACAGCGGCGTAGACTGACGTCAAGGCCGTGACTACTGACAGGATGACAGCGTCCTGCACACAGTTGTTGCTTGGAAAATAAGAGGGAAAATATTCAAAATAGTTTATATATATATTCAGTTATTAAATTTTACTGTGAGATGTGACATCATAAAGTCAGTAAATCTTACTGCACAGGGTTGTAGCTTGAAAAAGAGATGAGACCTCCCCATGCTAAACCGAAAGCATAGAAGACTTGAGCTCCCGCGTCCAACCAGGTCGTCGGTTCAATCAACTCGTTCACCTAGGGTTTTTGAAAAGTTCTGCGATGAAACATTTATTTATTTATTTATTTATTTATTTATTATTGCTATTATTTATAAAATGTACGTCTGGCGTGAACAGAAACTTGATTCCAGTCCAGGACCCTTTGAGCGTCAGTCCTCTGACCAGGAAAATGCCCAGCACCACGTACGGTAGAATGGCAGTGACGTACACCGCCTGAGGTGTTAAAAATAAAAAAATAAAAATGGATATCAGAAACAGTCAGTGTAATGCTCTTAGCAAAAAAAAAAATTTCCTAACCTTGCCTGTGCTGCTAATTCCTCTTATACAGCAGATGGCGACAACCGTCCAGGCAGCTAACAGGCAGACCACTATGGGCCAGTGGATTCCTCCAGAGTCTTCTATAGAGGCTGTGGTGTTCAGGGTCACTCTGTAAAAGAAATAATCCACAGTGGAGCTCTGTTCACACTCTGGTATAAATCCTGTAGAAGACGGGAAAAAACTCAAGTTAAAGTTGGAAAATTTCATGAAAAGTCTGGGGCTTCTATCATTCTAAATACCTGTCCCGTTGTCGTTCAGAGGACACTGTGCCCAAGGCAGAGGGCTTTGGAAGGAGTTGAAAAGATACCACAGGATCCAGGCGATCAAGGTGTTGTAGTAGAGTGCGACCAGAAAGGACACCAGCATGGAGGCTATACCTGGATAGAGGATGTAACAGAAATGTTTTAATAGATGTCGGAGTTACTTTTATTTACAGTCTATTTATTTATTTACCTATTCCAGTCAGATATGGGTTGATGGACCTCCACACTCCCACACTGCCTTTCCTCAGACGCTGACCCATGGCGAACTCCAGCAGCAGGAGAGGCATGCCCTCCAGCACCAGCAGAATGAGGTAGGGGATCAGAAATGCACCTTAAAAAAAAAAAAAAATTGTGCCAAATGTAGTTTTTCTGCCATCTATCCTTCCAAGGTTAGGTTTTTAAATATTTGACTTACTGATGTCAAATAATAGATTTTCCTACATTTTCTCAATCTAAACGGAGACAAAACTTCATCGCTTTTAACTGGTGAACAAATTCTGAATAAATTCCAAAAAATAATCTGCATTAGTATAAGGTATTATTTAGTGCTTTGAAATTAATATAAATATGTCATTCAATGAATTGTTCAAATATAATTCTCAATGTAATGGTGCAATTGTTAAACACGATATAAAAACACAAATAAATGTACGTTTGAAATAAACCCTAAATGGCAAACAACGACCTCCCATGTTGGTTTAAACAGCATTAATGTGTTCTGTTTGGTGTAATTGTGTGTGCAGGACTCCAGCTGAGTCGCTGTGCTTCTGTTGCCTGTCCAGTTCAGAAGACAGAGAGACGTTTGAGAATCATTAACAAGAAGGTACATTTATTACTCTTCACGTAACCACTGATAAGTTATACATTTAACTCTGTTTGTTGCTGAGTGTGCCTTTGGTAAAAACAAACAGTTCTGCAGCATGGGAAGATCCCCACACAATAATATAATATAATACATATATCCTTTTTTTTTTTACCAAGACAGAAATGTAAACAGTAATTCAAACTGTCAAACTATAAAACACCATAAAACCTATTATTAAATTAATCGGTAGCTCGTCACCCTGATCAAATCAGTCAGCAACAACGTGACTCAGTCTGATTTGGCCGTCCGCTCCGTTCGTCTTCTCTTACCTCCCCCATGACTTTGGCACAGGTAAGGAAACCTCCACACGTTCCCCAGCCCAATGCAGAAGCCCACGCAGGTCAGGATGTACTGGGCTTTGTTGTCCCACTTCTGCCTCCCGCCGGCCTCTTCCTTCTCAATCCTGTCCAGGTCCTCATGGTTAGGAATCCTGAGATCCAGTCCTGGGTTAGGGAGCACCAGTCTCATGGTGTGACCCTGTGTGGACTGAGGGAGAGAGGGACAGTGCGTGCTGCCGCGGTAGTCGTCGTAGTAGTAGCAGCGGCAGGCGTCGGTGTGGATGTATTAAAAGGTTTATGGTCTGCATGGTTATCTTACAATATTAGAGCTCAGATCACACTTTGAACTTGGAATTTTATAGACTTTACGGTGGAGTTATTGCGGTTATTCAACGTAATGATTATACACGTGTTGTACGAAAACGCTGCGGGAGGTCAATGATACTCTAACCTGCTCGTTTTGTGACCAAATAGATGGTGTTGTTTATGAGAAGATCCAACCCTGGCTGTAAACTGCAGTTCAGTGATGGTGTTGTTATACAGTAGGGTGAGTCAAAAAGTACTTTTAAAAGGTTTCCAGTTTTAGTGGATAAAAATACTCTAAAAAATGTATTTAATCTTTAATACACATTTATCTATGTTAGGTTTTATAAAAATTAAAAAATAAATAAAAATAAATAACATTTTTTTTTTCAGAATACTCCAAGTTGCTTTTACAGTGCAGCAAGATAGCATAATATATAAGCTAATTGTCTTTAGCTTCCCAGTTCCCCAAGTGAGTTTTAAAAGTGGTTTTTGAAGTCTAACAGGAGGGAGTTGATGAAGCAGGTCGGGGAAAAGTGAAACAATTTTTCAGTTTTAAATTCCCACCTTCATGGATTTGGTTTTAGAGATTGCAATACTTAAAAAAAAAGAGTATTTTTTCCAAATTAAGAACTTTCTGACCTCCCTTATACCTAAGAAGAAATCAACATTTGACTCCTTTAAATTAGAAAACAAAAATGACATCTTGACAACATATCAATTTTTTTTTATCAAACATCAAGGCATATATTTATATATATATATATTTTACAAATATAACAAAACAAGTACTTTTTTTACTTTTTTTTACACATTGTACAAGCTAAACATTAACAGTAATGGAAACAGTAAACCTGGCTGTACATGATGGTAACTTTATATTTGCTGCTTATAGTATTTTTTTTTTTTTTTTATGTATGAAAGGACAGCTGTTTCCATGCATTTCAGTGTTCTGTACGCAAACACGCAGTCTATAAAACAAGAGCGACGTCAGACGTTTTTCTGACTCATTCCCTGCAACTCGCGAAAAAAATACAAAATATACTTCAAAGTATATGTATAAACTAAAGTATATTTATGGTATATTATGTATGTATATGCATATATCTATACATATACATATGTGCGTACATATATTTATGTGTCTCTGTGTATATGTATATATACAGTATATATGTATACTTCTTAGAAAAACAATTTCAATAAAATTTCATTTGATTTTCTTCTTTTGTCCTATCAGTAATCAGCGATGTGCTCCGTTATCATTTTGCAGATTCTAGGTGTAGAAATAGACAATAAGCAGTTTTGCATATGGAAAAAAAATAATAATTTAAATTTAAAATTTGATTTTTCCATTCATTTGTACGTCGGCGGAGATGGTTTCCACATCGCTGTCGCGGTAGTCCCTTTTCTTGCAGCAATTTCTATGAATAAACTTAAAGATAGCATACAGAGGAATCATTAAACTTGGAACCCCGGCCAGAATGAAGATGATGGCGTAGATCCAGGAGGGAAAAGGACGTGGGTCCAGGGTTGGGAAGTTCTCCTGTATCCAGAATAAACAAATATATTTTTAATTTTAAGAAATACTTTTTAAAAAGTCTGAACTTTTATCACAACAACACTTACCGCTTCCTGGTCCCAGACTAAATAGGTCAAGCTTTTGGTGACTTGAGTAACAAAGTAAAAGATGAGGATAAAGATCATAATGAGCGGACTGATAAACCTCCACGTCACCTGCCAGAATATATTGGGTTTGTGGCCAATCATAAACTCGATGTCCTTGTTAAACCTGTGTGAAAGCAGTGAGAGGAAGAGTTAATGTCAGCTGGATGTGAATGAAACCGCTATTAAACCCTTCTAAAAGGTGACTTTTACGCACACGGACTTCCTCCCTGGACGTATAAGCTGCTCTTAGACAAACTCACCTGTCTATCCCGTAGATGTAGACGACGGCAATCATCTCGCTGAATCCAATAACAAGAAGGGGAATAGATCCGGCAAAGTTGTCGAAAAGAGCCAGCCAGTAGTTGCCAGAGCGCTGGGCAAATATCAGGCCAAAACCACAGGAAATGAAACAGGTCAGACCTGCACAGAGAACACAAACAAAAACAAGTGGTTACTGGGAGAACAGTTCGCATTACATTAGCTATTAGCTTATAAAGTTACACTTAACAAATGCTTTTTTAAATGTTTCTTTGTCATGGTTTAAGTTCTACTTCTTTTTCGAGAAAGTAATAATAATGTACTATTTTATTTTACTTACCGCAGAAAACCTCTTTGGGCCAAGTGCGGGGCAATAACCGAAGGTCCTGCAGGGGGACCACCACTCCCTCGATGTTGCCGAACATGGTGGACAGGCCGAGGCAGAAGAGCATGATGAAGAAGAGGACAGCCCAGAGAGGGGAGAAAGGCATCTTGATGATTGCCTCGGTGAACACGATGAAGGCCAAACCCGTTCCCTCCACGCCCTTCAGGAGAACACAGGTAGTGCTAATATTATTTTTTAGATAAATCTTTATGAATGTATAAAATATTGTGTTGTTCAGGATTTGGAATGGAGGTCACAGTAATACAAATACTATTCATATATTCACCATGTCTTACTCTCTAGCCCCCTCTACTGTTAGTGGTGTCATGTCTTCCTCGGCTAAATTCCTAACCTTGGTCTGCTATATCCACGATAACTCTTCTCACATGTTCAACTCCAGTTTATGACTTTTTATGCTTTTTTTTTTTTAACTTCTCTGGAAACCTAGAACCCATCTGTCACTCTGACTGCACACCTCGCCACATCAATCCTAAACTTACAGTACATGTTACCCTGCTTGCAGACTTCCTGTCAGTAGTTACACAGCACTTTTTTTTCCCACTGGGACCAGTATGTCCTGCATGCTCCGTGCAGGACGGCCCATTTAGCATTAACCATCTCTGTATGCCTCGTTCTAAAAATCAGTATCGGCGTGTTCTCCCGTAATCTTTTTATGAAGAGTTGTGCTAATCCACCTCGTAAAAGCCTACCTACTTCATAAAATTATCATCTGTAATAAATCTCCGGGCAGTACGACAGAGATCGTCAGATTGCATTATATTAGATCCTATCTGCATAATCTGACGCTGATAAAAGCCGTGCTTGTGCAACCTTTACTTTATCAATCGAAAATGAGGCTTTGTTTATGTCTGTAATAAAAAAAAAAATTTAAATGTTTTATTCCATTCGCTCGCACGCCCGCGTTGAACATTTCTCAATCGGTGCCAAACATTGTAAAGTCAAACCAACTTTTAAGCATTTTCGTACAACACTTTCTAACTTAGATTTCTGGGTTTGGCCGTGAAGATCGTTATCAGCTTAAATCAGCATTAAAAGAAATTATCTTATCTCTGAAATGACAATAAAACCTGTCATTCTGGGTTTTTTTTTTTTAATTTTTAATCCTCACTGACCTGACTGAGGAAAAACTGTATGTCACAGGTCTCCAGGTTCAATTCCTGAATGACTTCTGGGTTCGTTCGGTTGTGTAGGGCTAACACCTCGTCGTAGTTGCTCCCGGTGATGTTGTTTTCGGGGTAGTTGAAGGCGTTCATCAGCTTTAAGATGTTGCTGCAAAAAATTAAAACAAAAAAACCCCACAAAACGACGTATAAGAAACCTGCTAAACCAGACTTTGTTTTATTAGCCGTTTTATTTCGGACTTTGACCCTCACCTGTCCACGCAGTCATCAAAGTTTTGCGTGGCCCTAAAGCCGATGATGGAGTAGATAACCGTCGCGGAGTAAACCGAGGTGCAGCCGTTGATGATGGAAATAAGGACAGCGTCCTGCTCGCAGTTGTTGCTGCAAAGCAAGATGGACGTCTTTTAAAGGATCCATTTTTTTGTTTTTTTTTTAAAGCTCATTTAAATGACCGACTTGGTTACTCACTGAACAGAGTTGTAACTGGAGAAGGAGATCAAACCTCCAAACGCCAGAGAAAAGGAGTAGAAAACCTGGGCACCAGCGTCCAACCATGTGGACGGATTCATTAACTCATTCACCTAAAAAAAAAAAAAAAAAAAGTTTAAACAGTGTCTCATACAGTTCCAGGCAGTTAATGGTTAACACTGGAGTGCATTCCTCGCCATTTCTTCTTTAATTTTTTTTTTTTTTTCATCTAAAGGGTGACGCAGCTCATGATAAACTTATAAGTCGATAAAGTTGGGGCACTAAACAAGGTATTAATAGCTTACCCAAAGCTATTAATAATTTAATATCAGTGGACTTTTAACCCCCTTGCGATTACAGATTATCTCAGATATGATATAAATATATATATATATCTGTTTATTTCGTTTGATAACAACTCTGTGACGTCCAATCCGGACAAAAATGTATTTTTATTAAATTTTATTTGAGTGTCCAGCCCCAAGGTGTCTGTTCAGAAAAATGTGTTCTCTCAAACCAATATAGTTGGTGACCACCAAGGCCTTTGGTTTACTTATACTGTAGATGTCTGACCTTTGACCTAAGGTGCATTAGTATCATTAACGATTGAAATCAAAGGTAACTAAGGCCTATTTTTCGAATTGTTTTTAAAATAATTATTTTCAATTTTTCCAGCTGCCCAACCGTCCGTGACAGTCTTGGTTATTTTTAATCTTCAATTGGAGGCCGATGTGAATTGCAGTCAGGCCATACGAGGACACCCAGACCACGCAAACAACTGAGTGAGTCTTGCTGTAATGTATAACCAACGTATATAGTGTACAGGTTAAAATTCAACCTTAATGGTGTTTTCTTGTGTGTTTCATCTGCGCTTACATCTGGGGTGAAGAGAAACTTTATTCCCTCAAAAGAGCCTTTGAGCGTCAGTCCTCTGATGAGGAAGATGGTGAGGACCACATACGGCAGCGTGGAGGTGATGTACACGGCCTGAGAGTCCAGACAGAACATTTAAAATAGAAACAAACATTTTGCTCACGAGCACGGGAACATTTATGTCGACGCGCAAACCTTGCCCGAGGTCTCGATCCCCCTTATGCAGCAGACGTAGAGCAGACTCCAGGCAGAAACCAGGGCCAACACCATCCACCACTGCAAGCCCCCGGACTCGTCGATGGCCGTGGACGTGTTCAGGGTCTCCCTGTACCAAAAGTAGTCGGTGGTGCTGCTGCGAGCGCACTCATCTATCAAACCTAGAGGTGATCGAGACGGACCAATCAGAACGTCATCGACATTTAAAACGTGGAGGCAGCACAGGTGCAGACAACCACATTAGCTACCTGTCTTGTTGTCGTTCAGAGGACACTGGCTCCACGGCAGAGGGTCTTGAAATGAGTTGAAGAGATACCACATGATCCAGGCCATGATGGTGTTGTAGTACATACCCACCAAGAATGACACTATCAAGGACGCCACACCTGGAACAGAGAGAGAAAAAATATAGAAACTGTTTGTCTGGAAAAAAAAATTAAAAAAGATTTTTCTTCTTTCTCTTTCTACCCACCGACTCCAGTCAGACAGGGGTTGATCGATCTCCAAACTCCCACGCTGCCTTTCCTCAGACGCTGACCGATGGCGAATTCCAGGTGCAGCAAAGGGATGCCCTCCAGGACCAGGAGAATCAGAAATGGGATCATAAACGCTCCTGGAAAAAAAAACAACATCCACATCCTGACGTGGTGAGCAATAACCAAAAAGCTCCCATAATAAACTGTAAAAAAGCTTTCAGCTGTATCAACATTATAAAGGAGGACTTCATCTGTTAGTGGTTTCAGTCCCTTTAAAAATGGTTTTAACATAACAGTTCTTAAAAGATGATCTTGATATTGAATATAAAATATTTTCAGCTTTTTAGGAAAAAAAAAATCAAATATTCACTCACCTCCTCCGTGACTTTGACAGAGGTAAGGGAACCTCCAGACATTACCAAGTCCCACACAGAAGCCAACGCAGGTGAGCAAATACTGGGCTTTGTTGTCCCACTTGGGTCTGTCTCCGGCTTCCTCCTTTTCCATCCTCTCCAGGTCCTTGTGAGAAGGAATACGATCATCCAGCCCAGGATTTGGTATTTTCAGTCTCATGGTTGCTTTTTTTTTTTTAAATTCTATCACAAAACTGGTGAAAAAAAGGTAATTTTTCTTTTTCTTTTAAATGCTCTGCAGCTCCGAAGTTGTTGCCTCCTGCGAGCCCCTCACCTACACTGACTGTCCTGACAGGTGACACCGAGGTATGTGCAGTGACCTCTGTCACCTACGGCGCAGTTATCAGCAGCTCGTTACAGTCTGTGTTGCATTATGTAACGTCAGCAAGCTTTAGTGGAAAAAAAAGGTGGAACCTGTTTTGATAATGGCTAAAGTGTCACATGGAGAACAACAACAATCACAAACAAACACACATTAGTAAAAAAAAAAAATCACATATTAACAATTGTGAAACACTGATTTTTTTCCCCCACTATTTTTTACGTTTTCATTCAGAATTTTTTTTTTTTCTAATTTTTTTTTTTCATTCACAATCACATTAAATCAAAAGGAACCCCTTTAGGGAGCACATTATTTATGTATTGTTTATTATCTTCCTCTTCATCTGCCATATCAGTACACTCCTCACCCAGTCCTTGACAGTTTCTTGTGCACACGTGTTCCACTGTACACATTGTTTACCATCACAGCCTTAAATGTATTTATTTTTCTATAAGTAAATATTTACACGAAATAATTGTGAAATTACCATTAAACATTATAATTATTTTTTTAATTTTATTGATTCATTTATTTTTTTAAATCGTAAAAAAAACATATATAACAGAATATCATAAATGCATTTGTTGGTCCTTCATAAAATTAGTCTAACATTTAAAAATTAATGAAGTAAATAATTTTCCAGCTTAGGTTTCAGTTTTTTATCTATTTATTTTACATTATTTATTTATTTAATATTTTAATCTGTAGCCATACAATTAGAAAAAAAAAGAATGTTTAATGAGCTGTGTCTCGTATGGGACTTTGGTTTGTGTAGTCAAGTGTGGCATGTGTGTAAAACGACGTTTTTCTTTTATGATCGATCATATAATTTTACAAATCCCATTTGCTGAAAGTGAAGATATAGGAGGAAACGGCGCGGTCCGTAAACCTGAGTAATGCGGGAATCTGTTTCATTATGACGTGTGATAACTTATCAATTGTCAGCTCATTGGCATTGATGAGGTACAATTGATAAGTTATTATACGTCATAAGGGCTTTGTTTGGTTTTTTTGGGGAGGTTGTTTTACGTTTGAAATCAGCTTAATAATTAGCCCCGGAAGACTCATTGATAAAAAAGAAAGGATATTATATATAATAAAAAAAATTTTCCCTTTAAGAAATCATCATTTTGACCAGCATTAAAACCTGGCAGAGTATGCAGTTTTGGTTGTTCAATACCGACTGTATTCTTCATGCTTTGCCTTCAAGTCTATAAATGAGTAATGGATTAAAACCATTGTTTTTACTCTCCATTTTTTCATTAACAAACAGAGCTGCGACCACGCTCCTAACCAAGTTTGCCTCACGATCACTTCCACTTCCTTTAAACGACGAAGTATTTGTAACTTTGATTTAGAAGTGAGAACATTAGCATGTGTGTCAAATCTCAGAAACTCTGTCGTGTCGTGTGTTTAACCATTGCAATGATAGTATTGTTGTTCAGTAGCATTAATACTGATTGTACATAACAGTAGCCATACCAGGATTTGGACGGACATGATGAATGGCTGGTCACACACGATAAAGACATTTATAAAATGCAATAGAATACGTAAAAGAGACACACCTTTAAGACATCTTGTATAAATTATCATAAAGAACCAGCGTCCAATCTTCTTTTTATCTGAATTGATTAGATTAGTTGGCACGTGGGCCAGATGTATCATAATAGCATGAACTCAGTGTACAGGGTTGTGGCTGTGGTATGACACAGGACTTTTAGAGGCTGAAAAATAACTATAATTATGGTATAAATATAATCATATTGAAGTTCGTATTCATTGACGAGAAGAGATGTATATATATATTTATTTATTTTTTTGTATTTTTACCAACTACACAATTGATGTCATCCAACAGAGGTTCCTTGATAATTTAGGGCTGCATTTCTTTTTAATAAATGACACATTAAGAGAACTGCACAGTCTTTTTTTTAGTGCTTAGAACAACTGTTTACTATACCTGGATCATTGTTAGTCCATAAAAACACCGGTCTAAAACTTTCCATCGTTACAAGGACCGTGACAAGGCACCTAGAACTGGTCAAATAAAATCCACTTCCTCTTCTGTGTGTACAGTATGTGTCAGCACATTTTTCCAGTACTATTATTGTACACATACACAGTAACAGTGTCTGTTAAAAAAGTAGTTTAGAAAAGATCACAGAAACAGTCGTATAAGGTCACTGGGTCATAATCGGGTCCTTTAAATGAATGGACAAAGTGCACCAATAACTTTTTTATGTATTCGCCACGTACTTTTTTTTCTCTCATGGGAAGTTTTTAACACGAATCTCAGCAGCAAAGTGGATATGAATCCTAAGTTTTAAACTGACCTCTGTACTGTAGTAAGCCTCATGGCAAAAAAATGAATTTAAGTTGAAGCATTTGTTTTTTAAATGACCTCAACGTACAGGAAATTATCATAAATGTACGTTTTTATGCAGCACTTTCGAATGCTAACGGCTGCTAAAAGAGACCGCAGAATTTTCATAAGTCTAGAACTAAATTTTTGTTTCGCTAACTCATTCAAGGCATCGCCAGGTTGTTGACCTTGGAGGTTATCGACAGTGGGGAAGACATATTATCAGCAGGGTTAGAGAACAGATCATAAACGGTCTTAGCATGACAACAAACTCAGATAAGCTCAAAGACTGACCAGAAAAACCCACGGCTGTAGATAAATCTGACTTACTGTCACCATCTGTGAATTTAGGAATATTAGATTTTTTTTAATAAACTGAAACAAACCATAGTATACATCACATTTAATGCCCTTGATTTTTTTTTTTTTATTTCAATACATATTTTGTCCACTAGGTTCAAGGTCAGTCTACTCCCACGACTATGGTTTCTGTACGGAAAAAAAAACCTTTTACACGAATGTTCAGCTGTGTGACAGGTGAGTAATAGAAGCTTTTATTGTCCCCACTATCATCCATGAAAATGCAGGTGGAGTCGACCAGGGCTGAAAGTTCACTCTTCTGTCAGGACATTTGGCAGATAGCGGAGATTTAAATCAGCTGAATCATGGATCAAATTATTATCTTTGTGCGTGATAGGTGTTCCGTCGCCTTGAAATCAAATTTTCTTCTGTCTTACTTTTATCATAGATATATTTAACCTGACACTTGTTTTTAACTACTGCAGAATTCTACACAAACAGAAGCTGGTGACACCTTGACCTCTGCTGCCATACGCTGAACTCTGGGGATATTGGACTTCCACTTGTAAAGATAAAGAGTTCTTCCCCCAAAGAGGGCCTTGTTTACAGTAGGTATACGGTTTCTGTAGCAATAGCTAACGCTAGTCCCCTCTCCATTTACACTATATAAATTCCTGTTATGCCCTTCCTGTCAGCAAATCCTCAGTTGCAGACAACACATAGTAACCAATTCATAAAATGTCCTTAGGGAAGTTCATGAGTTACAGACTGATGTTTTAAAGTTCATTTGTGACTGAATATGTTTTTTTTTCTAAAGTTGACCTAATCTTTTGTTGGCTGTGTCTTTTTTTTTTTTTTTTACAGTGATACAGATCATGGCCTAGTTAAAGAGATGCTGCACTGGAAAAATAAAAAAAAATAAAAAATTGTTTGGCCAAGACAAGTCTGCCTTAAGTCCTGAGGGCAGTTAAGGTAAGTGGTGAACTCATCTCAGCTAACTCTAGTAGTACAATTTAAATCTATATTTTTGGTATATACGGTGTAGGTGTTTGTCAGTGTTTTTTCCCATTCACAAAACAAACTGAATTGAGTATATTTAGTATATTTAGTGTAGTAGGCTAACCCGTAATGGCCTCATCACTAGGTTAATTTTCAGCCCTGACTTTTTTTTTTTTTTTAACACTGTAGTAAAAGTTTACGACCTGTAAGTGACAATGCAACTGAATGAATACTGCTGAACTACATATTTTTATTGGTTAAAACTTCCCAGAGAAATGCTATGTTACTTTGTGACTTTGATTATTATAAAAACACGCATACAAATTGCAATCCCATAGGCTTATTGTTGCTCATAAATTCTCAGGCATCCAGCTCATCTTTTCCAATGCAGTTACATTATAAACTTATGACTTTAAAAATGTCCAAACACTACCTTTATCAATAAACCTGCAGCACATGGACCAGAGTGATCCAGACCTTGGTTACCAGAATAGACCAGTACTGCGATTCAATTCCAAAAGATGTCAGTATTGCACACGACTGGGCTTTCAAAGCGCAGTTCTCGAATTTGTAATTCAAATATTTGCCGCTAGAGGGCAGTAATACGCTCCAAATGATTCTTTGTAATCTTTATTTGGCTACTGTAATATAGGAAAGGATTTTTTTTTTAAATTTACTTTACATTATCAGTACACTTTAGAGAAACATTTTCTCAGTTTCCATGGGTTTTTTTTTTCAGTCTTACCAAGTGGCTTTTATACGAAATTGAAAGTTACGTTTAACCTGCAAAAGTACCATTTAACTAACGATTTAGTTTTTTATTAAGATGACTTTGAATTGAATGAATTTTCTACCAGTAGTAATCGCTGTTCAATTTCATGTAAGCAGCCAGCGCTAAGCCATTGGATATATGAGAGGAGGAGGGACAGATAAGGCGAGGAGAGAAATAGAAATGGGGGTTGGGGGGGTGGATTTAGACCGGCTGTCCCAGGCTGCGCTGATCCTTCACTCTCCAGCACCGAGCTGGAGTCCGTCTGCAGCCTCCGCTTTATTATTATCACCAGCCACCTGCCTCTCCGAGAATAACACAGAGGCACTGACCAGGAGGATCACTGCTAAAGCCGGGCGACGAGAAGGGCAGCGGGTGACCACTGACTCACCCATCCTTGTCTGCTGCAACCCCGGCTCCTGTGGGAGGCAGACAGAGGGGCAGTGCGCACAACGGACTGCGCGCACAGGACGCGCTCAGCTTAACGACCCGGGTTTGTTGTCGTTACCAGGGCAGGAGAGAGAGAGAGCAGTCGGAGGAGGATAGCAGTGGGCTGGCTGGTACAGCTGCGTGAATACCGGGCCGATCCCGTCAGAGGAGCCATTTGCATGGATGCACCATGGCCACGTTTGTGTGCAGGGTTCAGTTTTTGGATGACACCGATCCGTTTAACAGCACCAACTTCCCGGAGCCGACCAGACCCCCGCTGTACACCTTCAGAGAGGACATCCCGCTCATCAACCAGATAGCCGGAGTCCACCGGCTCCTGAAAGCCCCGCACAAGGTAGGATTGATAAACAACCGGTCCTATACTTTTACATTGATGCGCTTTACCATGACGTCACAACTAACTAGTTGTAAAAAGTTTAGGTCAAAACACACATATAGTTGTGCACTTAGGCAATATAGTCAATTAATTAAAATATGGTATTAGTTTGTTGTCCTATATATATATATACTGTATGTACATATATTTATGTAATATAAAATACATAAAAATATATATTATATATATATATATGTATATATTTTTTATATTTGATTTTTTTTCACTCGTGTTATGCTGGCTAAATGCGGATGTTGCAAAAGCTTTGGGGAGATAAACAGCCTGAGTGTTTTCTCTTCAGGCTTACTGAAAATAAACGTCCACACACACCATTCACGGGCTATTTTGAGAACACATGCAGGCACAAGTGACCAGCTCTGTGGCCTGAGGGCTGACACAGGGCTGCAAATGTTTTATCTTGAAGCCTCACAGCAGCATCGAACCTGCTCATTGTTTTGCTGTCAAAATGATATACAGTACATTGTCTTTACCCGGAGTGCCATTTTTGTTTTTTTTCCCTTCTTTGTCACCTTTCCAGCAAGGAGTTTTGTGTCTGGATGTCCAACTCTCATCGCTGCATTGCTCTTTGCACATCCCTGTTACTTGTTGCAGGTGGTTACAAAGGCTCCACTCACTGAGACGTGTCATTTTTCAACAGGTGACAGCCCTAAAGCTGAGAAACCAGGACAGGATCCTGATGACAGATACTATAATAGGATGATGAAGGGTGTGAGAAAGTCTGACGGGACCAAATATTCCTTCATTTCTGGTGTTTATCCTTGTTTAAAAGAAGGGGAAAAAAACTATTCTCCACATGTTGGTAGGCACGGTACCCAGAGTTAAAAGTTTAAATTAAGACAGAAGGAAAGACTTCAGACATTGGCTCTTCCTTCTGACAAGCGAAGCGGAGTGGTTTTCCACATTGACTGGGTCTTTCGCTGCCCCATCTTTAAAAACCACAAAACAAATGAAAAATGGCCCGCAGCAGAGAGAAGCTTATGATTACAACCTACACGCCGACAGATGGCACAGCTCGCGTTCGTGTTTGCGAATTTTTTGTTTCACATCAGGAGCAAGAGCATGTGCGCGACGACAACTAGATATTGCTCTAAGATTATAGGGAAGAAACTGAACTGTTGTTCAAATTCGCCCGATCCAAACGATGGAGCTTAAAAGCCTGGAGTGGCGTTATATTATCGGGAAAATGCTGCTGAGTTCCTACTATCATTTTCGGATACAGCTTTGAGATCCATCTTGTTGTAACCCTTGTGTACTCTTCCTTCAGTAGAGCCTAGTGTATGATTATGTTGTGATGGTGGAGCTCTGTGTACGTCTGCCCCGGCTGCATGTAAAGTATAGGTCACTTGTCCCAGAATTCCTGTGGCCGGAGTCTGGATCCTTGCGACACTTTGTTCTCCTCACTCCGGGTGCTGCGGTTTTCCTGACCTCTTCCTCCACCTCCTCTTCCACCTCTCTGACCATGCACCAATTAGTCTCCTCAAAATACTTGTAAACACATCAGTTTTTATGGGATGTGTCATTTTTTTTCCCCAAACGGCTACGCAAGGAAGTGTCGCTCGATTCTCTTTTTCGAGGACAAGCGATTTTTTTTCCCCCTTGACCTTCGAAATCGACCAGAAGAGGTTAGAGCGAGTTCAGCCTAGCTTGTTAAAGTTCAGATTTACAGTAGGATATTAAAAAAAAAAAGTTTGACAAGTAAACCTTCCTAAATGATAACTGACAATTTTTAGGGCACAACGCAAAACAAATCTCCTGTTCCAAAAAAAACCAAAACAACAAAGGCCAAACTTCACAGCTTCACTTTTATTTCATTACCAAAGGGATCCCAATAAACCAAACACTGGAAGATTTAATGACATCGCGGAACACGCCCTCTCCCGACTCTTCAAAGATCTACCATCCGCCTCGGCTCTGATGCCGACGCGACAAGGTCCCTAAAATCCCATCATCTCGGTTACGTAAGGGCCGTCGTTAACTGCCGAGCCCGCTGTGATCGCCAGCGGGCTCGGTGTTGTTTTAACGTAGAGGTAATTACTCCCACAGGCTGCCCCTGACTTTTTCTCCACTTGGTCTCGCTCTTCTGGGAGAGTTTGATTAAATGAGAGCAGAGCCACTCGCTGTTTGCCTGGCACGACTCCTGAAGAGTCTGCGGTTGGTTCTGGAGCCGCCTCCGTCCAGTGTGATGTGTTTTGTTATGTTACTGCTCCTGTTACCCAATCCAAGTGTTTAGTGAAAGAGACACCTCCAGTATGTGACGGCTGGCCTTAGGATAATGTTAACACTTTTAAATAATATTTATTCAATCATGTAAAGAGAGCTGCAGCTTGGATTTAGGAGAAGTAACAATTAGGAAGAGATGACGTCTTCTTTTTTTCATATATGTCTATATATATATATATATATATTTATATATATATATATATACACAGTATATATGACACTTCTCTGATACTTTCCATCTTCCATTTCTGCTTGACAATGGTAGAAAAAACAAATAGAGAGAGAGGACGTCTTTTTTTTTTTATATATGTCTATATATATATATATATATATATATATATACACAGTATATATGACACTTCTCTGATACTTTCCATCTTCCATTTCTGCTTGACAACTCCATATATCTCAATATTTATCCCTCTCTTCTTAGCATACCTCCATACCTTAGTCGCTGTCTTTGAAAACCTATAAAGTACTTCTCATATTTTTTATTTTTTATTATTTTACAGTAATTTGTACTTTTATATGTTATATTGACTCTGTGATTAATAGAAGACCATTCATTCATTCAACTATTTTGAAGTATTTTTTATAGTCCACTAGTTCGCTAGTCCACTAGTCCGGTGTTTCCCAAACTTTTTCCCAAACCTTTCGCGACCCGAGTCAATAGACATTAATCGTAAACTCCTGGGAAACATGATGCAAGATGACCCAAAAAAAATCTCTTGCGACCCATCCCAGGGTCACGACCCAGTCTTTGGGAAACAATGCACTGGTCGATATCAGCGGACAATACTGCAGGGGTAACTCCTGCAAAGTCTTTTTTTTTTTTGCCCTTGTCCCTGTCCTGTCTGAGTATTGCCCCTCTAGCACTGACTCCCAGCCCCTCTGCTCCTATGTTGGGCAAGATGCCTAACAGCCTAGCAGATTTAGCAAGGTTATATTTGTGCTGTGAGTTCACCCGTCAGGTCGTCTCTCTGTTTCCGAGTGAAAGAGGGGCAGCCAGCGAGCACCGGCGGGTCATGTGATCCACGGTCGCCGCTGCTCAGCGAGTGTTGTCATGCAACTGGAGCACGGGGAGGTCAGAGGAGGGCATTGGGCTGAGGTGCTAAATGCTAACTCTAGCCCACGACTCTGATTCTATTTGACGATTAATACCAAAGCAAAATAAAAACAACGCGCCGAATTTAGCTCGCGGTTTGCGGGTTAGCCCTCTTGCACCTGCTGTCGAGTTGTGACCGTACCCATATGGCCATGACCGTCACTGCCATCGGTGCGCAGATATATTTCTATCCACCTGGTGCTTGAGCTCAGCAGGGTCTCTTATTACACAGCAGTGTGGGTCACTTCTGACCAAAGCCACTCTGCAGTGTCATAACTCAAGTCGAACGATTGCAGGAAGGATTTAGTGCAAAATACGTTGGGTTTTTTTTTTTAGTGGCGATAAACCAAACGGACAACATATAGGGAGCATAAATGTAATGTTGAAATGACGTGGGGATGACTGATCGGATCTGAAACGTGCAGCGACTTCCATGTGCTTCATATTATATTCCTTTCGTACAGCGTTTCAGCGCCGTATTCCTCACAGCTGGGACCTAAATGTAGTGAAATCTCTCTTTCTCCGCTCTCTCCCTCTGGATTTAGTTTCATGTTCTACAGGCTTTATGGCTCTGTCTCTGGTAGTTAATTCTCTTAACAGCTTTGTGATGGTGAAAGCAGAGCCACGCTGCATGTGGTTCCCCTCCCTCCCTTCCTCCCTCTCTCTCTCACCCCTTTTACACAGACCACTGTAGGCAGTCGTGTTCAAACCCCCTCGCCCCCGTAAACCGGTTTTGTTTTATGGGCTCAAAATGGTTTTCAAGACAGGGTGTGAAACGAAGTAAGATATAGTGTAGCACCGTTGGAAAACACCAATGTCTGGTTTCACATGCCACCCGGAACATCCAAGTTAGGAATCACTTTTTCCACCGACCTAAGATACAGCACGTAGGTGGCGATAAGTAGGCCACACTTGGTTCCCATTAAGTACGATTCGGTGAAAATCCCATTTCGTTTGACAAGTTAAATATTATAAATGATAGTAAATTTTTATTTTTTTTTATTTCTCACTTTTCACAGCTCGATGACTGTGCACTACAGCTGTCTCACAATGGCACCTATCTGGACCTGGAGTCGTCCCT